CCTCATCACAATCCTTCAAACAACAGGATTATTACATTTGTTGTTTTAGATTATTTTTTATTTCATTTTATTGCTAAACCTGTTGTTTGTGAGCTTATTGTGAAAATAATAATGTTTTTAAAACATATCCAACATACTTGAGAGAAATACTGACATTTACCGGCCTAAAGCACCACACGTGTTACAGTGTAACACATTAAAGCCTGACCTTCTCCACCCTGAGCGGGTAGCCATCTTTCTCCCACTTCACAGAGGTCACCGGTGGGTTGGCGTCCACAGGGCAGCGGATGATGCCTGGCAGTTTCCGTGGGACATAGATGACAGGAGGCATGTTGATCACTCGGGCAGGATCTGAGCACAAAGGGATCCAAGTTGTACATTGTTTAATTACTAGTCAAACTTGAGGAAAAAAAAACTAATATACTAATATACTAATATTAAATCATCTCTAAAGGACCACAAATATGAGGGTTTTTTTTTGTTTGTTTGTTTTAGAAAGAACAGCAGAGAGGCATTTTTAGAAGTTTCCAGGAGATGATGCTGCATTTCTAATTAAAACACTATTTTATGAAATTACTAAATTACAGAATGGACATACAGGTTTGCAGCTATAACGTTTCCATCAGAATCAACATGTTCAAAGTCTTAGAAGAGAAAAAAAAACACATTGTCCGCATATCAGAAATATTTTTTTAAATATCTAATTTGCAGCAAAACCTTAAAAAATAATCTGTGCTTTAGCCCTACTTAATTATTTTACCATGCATTTGTATTCATAGCAGGTTAAAGATTTGAAAAAAAAGTACTATTTTTGCACTGCGTTTTCCAGCTTGGGTGACATTTATGATAATGTGAATTTTCCAAGCATGCTGGGAACATAAGAGAACCGTTGAAATTAGTAGAAGATCGAGTGACAGGCAGCAGGACAGGTTTTTTGTTGTTGTTTTTTTTAGCGCAGCCACTGCATGTGCCTCATGAGGTGCAGTTTGCTTTTAGAATTGAAAAACAAAAGACTTTTCAGGAAGGATAAAGCATGTTTAGGAAACTATTACTGTACAMAGATTGATCGTTTTTCAACTGGAGCATTGTTTTCAGTCTGAAATGATTCCTGAGCAATGTCCATGTTGCATTCAGGATGCTGGTTTCATTCCAGTTTGCTGTAGTTGAGGCCTGCAGTGCCTCTCTCTCTCTCTCTCTCTCTCTCTCTCTCTCTCTCT